TGGAAGGGTTAGAGCCTATGTCAGATTGTTACTGCCACCTGTGTCCCTATTTCTGAGATTTTCCCTCACTTCCTGTCAGGACTGAAGGTGATGGGAAATCTTTTCAAAAGAGAGCTAGGCAAAAACAAAAAAAATATTCTTAGTAGATTGTGGATGGGATAAACTTTTGACAATGGAAAATTAGTTGAACTCCGTGGAAATGTAAAAACTAACCTTGCAATGGGGCTCCCCCTGCACTGCAAAAAATACATGCTCGTTTTTGTCTAGGGCAGCCATTCTCAACCAGAGTTTTGTGGAAACCAAGGGATCCTCCAGAGGTGTCTACGGGTTCCTTGATCTTTGATGATTGATCTTTCATCTGTTGGTGCATGCTTAGTTCTAGGTCCGACGTCTCTTAACAGAGAGAGGTTGGGGGGTGAGGTGTGGGACTCAGATCTAAGAGCTGTAAATTGAGACTAATGGCTTGAATTCAGCAGCTCTTCACAAAGCAGGGGACCCCCTAAGAAGAACAGGTAATTTAAATTGGGAAATCCATCTGTAAATAGGCCAAAAAAGAGTGCCAAATGAGCTTCTCAAGAGTCCAAAAGTCAGACCCGCATTTCAGAAGTTTTATAAACACAAGCGTTTATAAACTATAGACTCAAAAATGCGGGTCTGACGTTTCTGCCTTGATGAAGGAGAATTTTTGCCCCCAAAATGCATAGGCTACCTTTTGTTTTGTTTTATTCCGTCAACTTGTCATATTACTAAAGGACGTTTGGAGTCTTGAGATGAGCATTTTGTGATCTTCTTGGCTCACTTAGAGGTTAGTGACACTAAACTCAGGAGTTAAATTTTAAAAATGCATTCAAGTACCCTAACTATTAACAATAATGTCTCTTATTTGTGTATCACTCAGCTGTAGATCCTCAAATCATCTCTGAATTGGTGCTGACACCGTGCTTCCTTCTGGAGGGTGGCTACTTTTGTTCCCCATGGTCCCTGTGTGTGTGTGTGTGTAAAATAGCCACCGCTCCAAGCTCACTCCTGTGATGGACTACAATCTCACGTTTAGTTTACTCATTTATATTGAGATTGTAGTTCATACAACAGTATTTGAGGTTTGGTTATGAGTTTAGCTGGTCTGTCACTTTAGGTAATGGTTGTCCATGTATTATTTTTATCCCTGATTTGCATTATGACAAGTATTAGATTGTGAAATGTAGAGACATAAAAAATGTGCCCCTTACACTGCGTCAGGGGCTCTCACTCCGATGCCTTGAGGAAGGAACCCTGCGTGGCCCCGAATCGTTGGCTAGTTGAACTATGTGATTTGCAATAAATGTATTCCTTTTTGTATATTGAATCACTGATATATTGGGTACCGATGGCTTATCTTCAAATGCCAGGGAAAAACCTAACACCTCTCTTTTCTGTTCTATACTTTCTAGCATTTCTCTGATACGGAACGGAGAGAAGCTCCAGACTCAGGAGCATCTGATTGTTCAGGAATATCTTGACAAACCGTTCTTGCTGGAAGGATACAAGTTTGATTTGCGGATTTACATCTTGGTCACTTCTTGCGATCCGCTAAGGATATTTCTATACAATGACGGCCTGGTCAGGATGGGGACAGAGAAGTATCGTCAGCCGTCGGAGTCCAATCTGGTGGGTTGATTGGCTTCCACATACAGTATATAATTTTTACATTCTTTTTAAAGTGTGTTAGGTTGACCAACAGCCCTGCGGTCTACAGTAAGGGGTTGATTTATAACCCGTTCACAGCTATGCGAATGAGATTCGCAGCACATTATTGCCACTTGAGGAGTTTAGGAAATGCTTATGCTCTTCAGCACCATCTAGTGACCATAATGCACCATGAATCTCGTTCACTGTCCAATTGGTTTATTGATCAGCCCCTTAGTGTCAATCAGAAATTGTACAATCAGAATGTAATTTGCGTATCTAGCACCTTGTCAATGACTGGCCTTAATTTATTATCTAATTTTTACCTGCGTATATACTACATCTGGAGCAGGCACCCTTGGCACTCCAGCTGTGGTGAAACTACAAGTCCAATGAGGCATTGCGAGACACAGATGATCTGCATTCAGTGCTTCTTGTATCCGGTAAATATCAGTCGCCATGACATGTTTCACCAAAATGGTTTAAAGCGTATGTAAAACAGTGTATGTAAACACTAATAATGAACTTCTCTGAATTGCTTCCTTTTTGTATGTTGAAGCGTAACTTTAGTTAAAAATCCAACATTTGCAAGCACAAAGGTTTTTTGTTTTTCATTGTAGAAGAGACATGCTACCGTGTTTCCCCAAAAATATGGTCTTATTTTCGGGGTAGGTCTTATATTACAGAAATCCCCGAAGATAGCGCTAGGTCTTACTTTCGGGGTAGGTCTTACTTTCGGGGAAACACGGTATTTGCAATATATGCTTCTTACCTTTCTCCATGCAAATTGTTTACAATGTACACTGAGCTGTTGTTTTACAGCTCAGTGTACAATCCCAGCACCTACCTGGATGCCAAGAGTAATGAACTCCCATGCACATGCATGGCAGTTGCGTGAACCCAGCCTAAACATTCAATTGGATCCAAGATCCTGAACTCAGAAGAAACCAATAAGAAGATGTCGGTGCTGGCATGGTAGCTCACAGACTTTGCATCTTTGGAGCAGAGGTAACTGTAGTTCCTCTTTAATATACTAATAAAACGGATTGGTTATCTCTGTTGAAAAAGTGCAAAAAAATACTTGTTGATTATGCCAGGAATCCAGTTCTGTCCTGTGTCCTGGGTGTTCCGCAGTGCTATCCCAATAATTCTTTGAGGAAGTGTGACCATTCTGGGAAAACATGTCAAGGCAACGGTGTTTTACCGTTTCTGAATGTTTTTTTTTGGTACTTGCCGACATTAAATACCGATACCGGAATAAAAGAAGCCGGGCGGCATCTAATGACTCGCCACCGGCTTCCTGATTAGCCAGGAAGCCGGCCAGCTCCATGCTCTCTTGTCACCTGAAGAAGGAAGCATGAAGCCGGCTTTCTGGCAAATCAGGAAGACGGGGCGGGTAATGATTTGCCGCCTGGCTTCCTGATTGGCCAGCTTCCAGACCAATCAGGAAGACGGGAGGCGGGTCATTACACGGCGCCCGGCTTGCTAATTGACCAGGAAGCCGACTCCATGCTACCTCGTCACCAGGTGACGAGGAAGCATGGAGCCGGCTTTCTCACCAATCAGTAAGTCAGAGGGCAGATAATCAGGAACATGGGCGGCGAGTCATTACCCGGGAAGCCAGCTCCATGTTCCCTGGTGACGTGGGAGCATGTAGCTGGCTTCCTGGCTAATCAGGAAGCCGGGCAGTGTGTAATGACTCGCTGCCGGGGCTTCCTGATACCGGAGGTTCCGGTATGCCAGATAGGCATCGGGAGCATATGGGCGAGTACAAGTAGTTGCCCAAATACTCGGTATTGGCATCAGTGCATACCTAATTAAGAACATCTGTTTTTGACATTATTCACCCAAAATGAATGTTCACAGATATTCTCAGGGTGAATTGTATAAATAGACCTCTAAAAGAGGCTTCAAACCTGGCAGTTTTATTAGAGGTGAGGTATTATCTTTCATTATGTGTGTATGTATATATATATACACACACACACATGCTGTACTTTTTTCTACCACATAATCTTGCACCAGCAGCTGTACAATATATAGTGTAACACTGTAAAATAAGCCGTTAACCAAACCTGATAAATCTCCTCGATCTTCACTTTGTGATGGGGATTGTCAGATAAGCATGTCCTCCGGGCAGACACAGCCACAGACATTTAAGTAGTGGAGAATAAAAGGAACAATAATGTCAGTGAAATTATATCCACATGTTGCCTGCTTAATGTATGTAATATGCGTGTTCATTGATCCAATTCATGGGCTGGTTGTAGGATCCTTGTGATATTCTAGTTTTTACTGCCTGAGTGCCACTTTAAACAGCCATGGACAAATAGTCTTTGTTTCAAAAGTGTCTTTTTATAGCATTGCCGGAGACTTCCCCGGCCTTCTAATCTATCCGCCGAAGTGGCCTTTCTGATGATTAACTTGATCACAGGGGTTGTGCAGCAGCCAATCAGCATGATTCCTTCTGCTGTGAAGCCAGTGATTGATTTACAGCTTCCCATGGCCAAATATGTTTTTTTGGAATAGACGAGGGTCAACTCTAGGGGTTAGAACTGCAGCAAAGCAGAGCGTTATAGCTGACGTTAAAATAAAATATTAGGTTTAATAGTTCTGGGGAAATTAATGAATTTATTGTTTTTTTTTAAATTTAATAATACATTAATATACAGTATGACATTACATATAGCAATACACTAATACATGTCATACATTATACATATTAGAATACATTTATACACATAATTACATATTATACATATTATAATACATTCATACTTATCAATATATATTATACATAATACATTCATACATACCATTATACAATATACATATAAGAATATTGTCATACATATCATTATACTATATACACTGAGTGGCCAGATTATTATGACCACCTGAGGGTTGTAGGCAAATTAGCTATAATTAGCTATAATTTCGCCCTGAAGTTGCTAGAGGGCCAGACCATTATAAATAGGGAAGCAGGTTATTTACCACAACAGTAGAAGTGATTTTTTCTGAAGATATGGGTAAACAACGCGATTTATCAGCCTTTGAACGTGGGATGATTGTTGGCGCGGAGCCATGGAGCGAGTATCAGCAAAACAGCAGAATTCGTTACATTTTCAAGAGCAGCTGTTGTTAAAGTGTTTAAAAACTGGACTGTCAGCCGAATCTGGGTCTGAACGTGCGAATTGTGGTCGTCAGCGACTAGTCAATGTTATGGCAGAATGGAGAGTGGCAAGACTGGTACAGGACAACAGAAGGGCAACAGTGCAGTGTCAGATTCCTCGCATCACCTTTCAACATCTCGTGGAGTCACGAGGCGGCCCAACAAAGTAATCTTGTGGAGTAATCTCGTGGCACAACGAAGTACTGATGGGGTGGTCATAATAATCTGGCCACTCAGTGTATATACCTTTATAAAATATACATATTAGAACACATTCATACTTATCATTATACATTATACATTTAATAATTAGGGATGCACCGATACAGTTTTTTCGGTATTGAGTACGAGTACCGATATTCTTTTTTCTGTACTCGCCGATACCGAATACCGAGTACCGGAAGTCCCAGCTCATGAGTAGATGGATATTGAGGACTCTAAATGTATGTTCCATGATATAGAGTATATATTTTAAATTGTGTCAGTGCACAATAAATGAGAAACATATGCAATGCATGTCTGCAATACATGTATATTTCCCCATGTTTTATCCCTTTAAAGACCCTGTAAGTACAGAAAAATACCTGTTAATCTTCCAGAAATGCACTCCTCTAGTACATCCTGTTGTGTGGTGAGAACACACAGCATTGTTGTGGACTGAGTGGTGTTCCACCCACTCTGCCATCTCTACAACCTAAAGGAAAGTAATTCTATATTCTCAAGATAATAACTAGGAGGGCTAATTAGGGTCCTTAAGATAGCACAGGAAGTGTGAACAGGATAAAGCACAGCTCTGAATTTCTTTTTTTGCACTTATTATGTGTATTACAGTTGACCCCTGAAATTCGCGCATGGTTACGTTCCTAGAGCACCCACGAATTGTGAAAAACCACAAATTTTAAATGGGGTAAAAAAAATGCCTATAAATGTCTATTTTTTGCCTCGTTCTTCCTTATGTAGCGTAGGGTGCTCTCGTTCATGCCATAATGGCGCGCTACTGCGGCATACATTTTTAGTTCCCGAAGCAAATCCATTAGTTCAACCTCCTCCTGGAGTGTCTTAAACGTCTTTTGGCGCTTAGTTTATTTGCGGTTTCCACAAACAATTATTAGTTAGGTTCTAAGGATAAATCCGCGAACGACTGGGGCCGTGAACTCTGAACTTTGCGGGGGTCGACTGTATACAGTTAACAAAACTCTTTTAACGGTATATTTATTTAACAGACTAAAAAGAAGCAAATAGAAAGTTTATTGTTAAGGTTTACTTTAAGATCTTTGACAAAGATATATATATATATATATATATAGATATATATATATATATTAATATATAGATATACACATACACACACACAATAACACACACACACACACAATGTATAGGTATATTACAATATTACTACAATATTATGCCTCATTAACACTTGCGTGCTCGGACCACCCATCCCACCACATAACAGAATATCCCCGGCATATGTTGACACAATCTGTGAAGCCGTCATAGTGTAAACTTCATACACAGTAAACACTGAAATGTGCCATATCATCTATAGTAATCAAACATTATAAATGGATACATTTTAATCAGGAACCGTGGCCTTGGCTGAATTTATCAGATAAACAACCTAATTATGAAAAATGATGGAACATCAGAGTCACCGTGAAGATGAAGTTCTCTCAAGTTTGATCGGTCTTGGGGAAGTTCTGTAACGTCTAAGTAGAAACATCTGGAGATTAGTCAAGATGGAAGGTTTTCCCCCGGGATCAATTCATTAACCTGAGATCCTTTAAAGTCAGTGTGGCAGAGTGGC